TTCGTAAACAACCCAAAATCCGTATGGAGCACTTCTGGAATCCTTGAACGAACCCTATACGCCCTAAATAGGCCCTAAATCCTAAACCCCTCAGCCCTAAACCCTAAGCCCTAAACCCTGAAACCCAAACCCCTAAACCCCTTAAACCCTAAACCCTAAACCCCTAAACTCCTCAACCCTAAACCCATGAACCTCCAAGTAGGCCGTGGCTTTTCGTCAGAAGCCCTCCCCAGCTCGCCTGGCACCCACGAGGATGCCCTCTCCGCCCCGATCCTGGGTTCAGGGTTTTGGGGCTTTAGGGGTTTAGGGCTTAGGGTTCAGGGGTTTAGGGTTTATGGTTTAGGGTTTGGGTGTTTAGAAATTTAGGGTTTAGGGGTTTAGGGTTTAGCGGTTTAGGGGTTTAGGTGTTTAGGGTTTAGGGTTTAGGGTTTAGCGTTTAGGGCTTAGGGTTTAGGGTTTTAGGGTTTAGGGTTTAGGGTTTAGGGTTTAGCGGTTTGGGCGTTTAGGGTTTAGGGTTTAGGCTGCTAGACGTTTAGGGTTTCGGGTTGGACGAGGGGCCTTCATACTTAGAATAGTTTGGAGGTCCATGTCACAACGGATCCATCGGCAAGAATGGCAGCAAAAGCACGCGAAGAGGCTTGGATCTGCTGCACATTCTTCAACTGATCTTGCACAGCACTGCTATTACCACCAAAACCAGGCGCACCCCAGGTTACCACTGATCCATCGCCAAGAATGGCAGCAAAAGCGCTCCGAGAGGCTTGAATCTGCTGCACATTCTTCAGCTGAGTCTGCACGGCGCTGCTGTCACCTTCAGCAGCAGGAGAAGCCCAGGTTACGACGGATCCATCCGCAAGAATGGCAGCAAAAGCGTGCTTAGTTGCCTGGATCTGCTGCACATTCTTCAGCTGACCCTGCACAGCGCTGCTGTCAGCGCCAAAACCATCCTCACCCTAGGTCACGACCGATCCATCGGCAACAATGGCAGCAAAAGCACGCGAAGAGGCTTGGATCTGCTGCACATTCTTCAGCTGCGTCTGCACGGCGCGGCTATCACCACCAGCAGAGGGAGCGCCCCAGGTTACGACGGATCCGTCCGCAAGAATGGCAGCAAAAGCGTACTCAGTGGCCTGGATGTGCTGCACATTCTTCAGCTGATCCTGCACAGCACCGCTGTCACCGCCCGAACGAGGGTGACCCCAGGTCACGACAGATCCATCTGCAAGAATGGCAGCAAAAGCGTCCGTAGTTGCCTGGATCTGCTGCACAGTCTTCAGCTGATCCTGCACAGCACGGCTGTTACCCCCAAAACCGCCAGCACCCCAGGTCACCACTGATCCATCCGCAAGAATGGCAGCAAAAGCGAAGTAAGCGGCTTGGATCTGCTGCACATTCTTCAGCTGAGTCTGCACGGCGCGGCTATCACCACCAGCAGAGGGAGCGCCCCAGGTTACGACGGATCCATCCGCAAGAATGGCAGCAAAAGCGTACTCAGTGGCCTGGATCTGCTGCACATTCTTCAGCTGACCCTGCACAGCACTGTCAGCGCCAAAACCATCCTCACCCCAGGTCACGACCGATCCATCGGCAAGAATGGCAGCAAAAACAGATTGAGCGAGTGGCTTGAACTTGGACTCTGCCAATGTGCAAGGTCAGCGAGGCACCATCCTCGACCCCGGCTTCCTTATTGGTGAGCATCCATCCAGAACGCCTCCAGATGCGTCCAGAAGCCGCCCCTTCCCGACCCCGAGTGCGAGCTGTGCCCGCTCTTTCAGCACTTCCACGCCCTCACCCAAGGCTGCTTGCACAGTGGCTGTCTTGCCACTGAGTAGCCCAACTTCCACAGAAATCGACATCGGGTCCTTGGGGTTGTGTATTACAAGGCTCAGGTTTAGGCACAAAGACTTGCGTTTCCCTAATCGATGTGTGGATTTCTGCATGTCTACCGCAAATTTCATAAACATGGGAGCGCCACTCAACCGAGAGTGCAGTTGCAGACATGCAAAACCACAGTATAGACCCGATGCAGAAAGGTCCTGAAGCATGCAGGGTCCCCCCCAATGTGCAGAAACCCAACCCCAAAAGTTCATTTAGGAGTCGGAAAAACTGGTAATTAAGAGTGTTTCCCTCGAGCTCTAAACCCTAAACCCTAAACCCTAAGCCCTAAACCCTAAACCACCTCCAAACGAGCCCTTTGTCTGAGTAGAGTGTGACTCATCCCAGAACCCTACTCCTGATCCTGAAGAACCGCATACAGTCCCAGAGGGTCCAAAGTACCTATATAGTAGAATGTAGGGTTTCCCATGTTAGGAACTACTATTAAGGTTTGGGAAGTATCCCTCATAACAGTACCTAGGACCCTTTAGGAGTATTGAGACATATGGACTTCTCGAGACAACCCTACAAAGGCCATTGGTATAATGTAGGGGCCCTCTTCTTCTGGAGACTTCAGAGCCGTCAAGTCTGTAGGGGCCTTAATAATTGGAATAGGGTTTGAGGTATATTGTGCTATAATTTCAAGAAGGAGCCCTCAAAACAGTATCGGTAGTTATTAATGCCTAAACCCTAAACCCTAAACCCTAAACCCTAAACCCTAAACCCTAAACCCTATATTGCGTTCACAGAACACGACTAGGACGGCCCTCCTACGGGCCCTCACATTACACTTACACCCCACCTAAACTTCCGCACTCTGTCTCGGAAAATTGAAAGCGCTAAGCCATGGAAAAACTGAACCCTGAACCCTGAACCGTAGATGTTTCTGGATTTCTGATGTAGGGTTTTCTAGTTTGGCTGAGTTTGTGCTAATCCCGGACCTGAAGCCCAATCAGTCTGGTGCAAACCTGGAACTGTGAGGTATCAATGGGTATCATAGTAGTGATGTTGTAGCTTAATATGATATAGCGACATTAGCGAAATATATTGCTGCTCATGGCCCAGACCTCCAAAAACTTTGCAAAGGCTTATAAGACCTTGTTTAACCTCATGTTAGCTGGGCCCTGAACCCTGGCCCCGAAACCGTAGACCCCTGGGTTTAGGCTTGGGGGTGACGGGGTTTCGGGCGAGGTTCAAGGGGGCTTCGAAGCTCACGCTCGGACGCCATAGAAACTCACAATCTCGACCAGGGCGACTTTTTTCTCAGAGAACAGCACCTCTCATAGCATCTCTACTCTATGCGGTGTAAGATAAGAAGCTCAGAAGGAAGCCAAGCGCCTCCAAACTGGCAGCTGCCAAGATTGTCGGACACTTCTGGTCCTGACGTAGCAAATCAAGGCTTCTAAACTCTGTCTTTCTCTCTCTCTCTCTCTCTGTATATATATATATATACATACATAGAGGAAAAACAGAAACACAAAAGCAAGTGAATAAGCAAGCATTTCACACATATCTATACATGAATAGACAACTAAATAAGTACATATATATATATATATGTGTGCGTGTACGTCTGTATGTGAATATATATATATATATATATATATATATGTATGTATATATACACATGTCCAGTGACCCCTCCTTGCCTCCTTTAGACCACGACTTGCACCG